GGGTTGAAAGTTGATTATTTTGACAATTTTCATACACTATAATTCAAATAAAATTCAATAAAAAAATTATTTTCAAGCGGGTGGAGGTGGGGGATCGAAAGAGGGTGGTCACTTGAACAAAACCCGATAACCTAACCTAACCTACCCTATTGATAAAGATATTTAAATAATGTTTTATATAACTTTCTCAATATTTTTATGTATTTTTCATTAGTTTTACCTTTGAATATTGTTTAAGAATGACTATATAAATATTTACATGCCTAGAAATGTATAAAAGTTGGCATATTTATTAACATTGAACCCCCATAACTTTTTATGGGGGTGAGACCCCCACGAACTTTTTATGGTACAGTGGTGGGGGAGACCTCCTCTTTCGATCCCTTCCACCCCCACCCCCTTCGGGGGCCATCATCTAGACCTTTACCAAATCTACACCTGCCAGTGCAAAGCTGGAACAGATATCTACATTTTATACAAATGACTATCTGTCGGGCTACATGTTGTCGGAAACTATACCAGATTAGAAATCGGTAAAGTTATCAAGCCTGCAGCAGAAAGCTTGCTTCACCTGGGCCCCTTGTTCAACAACAATAAAATCAAATTAGCGTTTGCTTCATTGACATATTAAAAACTCCAAACAACGATCAAAGCAGTAAGAGTGAGAAGAACGATTATATTTATATTCTATAGACACTGTTAATTTGTTATTTACGACTAGTTCTTCCCCCTATAAGTCACTGTAAGCTCGAAACTGTTAGCACCATTACTTCGAGTGGTCGAAATTCACTTTTGTGAACAATTTTGTTTACTCACTTTCCTTGTGTTAAAAATTGTTTGAAAAAATAAATTTAAAGGAATCGTTTGTACATAGGTATGCAACACATCGTACACTTCAGCATAAGAAATTGCTGATACTAACTACGTAATACTACCTTGTCCTGTGCTGACAGCACTAATAATTTCTTTTATATATAATATTTACTAATTGTCAGTTAATAGTTTATTAGCCGCGAAAGCGTAGGTTTCATTATAACGTTTCTCTTTTTTTTTTAATCGATTAAATAACGCCGTAGGTATGAGGGGATTACTTTTTATCGCTATTTTATCCAGTAAACATTTCTGCGAACACGCTAAACCTTTCTGTTTACCTTCGATGACGCTTCGATTGACGCTTTATGTAGGCTTGATTACAGCCGGATTGAATTTCAAACATCCTTTGTTGACGATCCTCGACGTGGACATTGCAACAAAGCAATTATTCGAGCTTTGCCTTTTCACCTACTAGCGTCCGAATTCCGCTTACAGCAACTGTTCTGTATGCATGAGATCACATTTTCAAACAACGCATTCGAAATAAAATTTTAAGATAACCTTTTGCGTGATGTAACTTGTTTAATTTTTTTTGTATCTCCATAATGCCTCAATAATCCAGCTAAATCACAAAAAAACGTGAAACAGGGCAGACGAAGCTGGAATCGAAACGGTGTCCTGCCGAATGATAAGCTGAAATCTACAAGGACAAGGACAGCAAGATGTTCAAGTCTTTTCCTTCTTAAAAAATGTAAAATGTTTTATATTAACAAAAATAATGAAAACGGTCATTTGTTAAAAGCAGGTTCGCATCTTGAATGTAGGTAGAAATTCGGATTGGAAGTACATTAAGAATTAAAAATTGTTTGCTCATTAAATAATAACCCTTAAAATCTTAAAAATATTCAAAGAAAAGATAAATGTCTAGATGATGGGGTGGTGGGTGGGATCGAAAGAGGAGGTCTCCCACACCACTATACCATAAAAATTTCGTGGCGGTCTCACCCCCATAAAAAGTTATGGGGGTTGAAAGTTGATTAATTTGACAATTTTCATACACTATAATTTAAATAAAATTCAATAAAAAGCTTATTTTCAAGCGGGTGGAGGTGGGGGATCGAAAGAGGGTGGACACTTGAACAAAACCCGATAACCTAACCTAACCTAACCTACCCTATTGATAAAGATATTTAAATAATGTTTTATATAACTTTCTCAATATTTTTATGTATTTTTCATTAGTTTTACCTTTGAATATTGTTTAAGAATGACTATATAAATATTTACATGCCTAGAAATGTATAAAAGTTGGCATATTTATTAACATTGAACCCCCATAACTTTTTATGGGGGTGAGACCGCCACGAACTTTTTATGGTACAGTGGTGGGAGAGACCTCCTCTTTCGATCCCTTCCACCCCCACCCCCTTCGGGGGCCATCATCTAGACCTTTACCAATAACGCTTAAAACCTTAAAAATATTCAAAGAAAAAATGAAATGATCCAAAGATAAATTAGTAGCAGAAATTACATTATTTATCGCAACCAAAGTGCTTCTTGTCTCTATTTTGACTTTGATTCCTCAATATGATTTTGGAAAATACAATACACTTTTTATATTTTAAATTTAACCCGAATTATAATGCCGTAAAAGTCAACCGATACTCTGTTTTCTCGATTTTATGACTTCCTAAAGAAAGCGTAATAAGAATAGAACTTTTGTTTGCTTTCCTTGTCTGTCGCCGCCTACTTGATCCCTAATAATACGACTTTTGAAGAGATAACGTTTGGGTAAAATTTCAAGTCGTCTTTGTTGGTTACAAGTTTGTTAACGTTTCAGTATTGCGTTGGCGTTGTAACACTTTGTCATGGTGATTATTTGCGCTACGTTATTTAATTTTGAAAGGGGCTACGACGCTTAAGGTGGTGTTTATTTTCGAAGCAACATTTCACGTTGAAGAAGTTATTCTCGCGAAAACATGGGAGCCCGTATTACACTCGCTGTATTTCTAAAAAGGATGAAAATATTCTTTTGTCATTTTCTTTATGTATTTCCATTTTTCGTTGAAATAGAAACTTGTTCCGATAAAACGATTGTTAGAGACATTTTCATATGAATCGTTTTACATATAGCGTTTTGAATCAGTAGGTAAAATCAAAAAGACCCACGTATAACTTAAAATACATACTATCATCATAAGGTTGTCAGTCCTAAGACTGATTGGACACGTACCTCCACTCTTTTATACGCATTTCCCTACATCTAGAACATATATATCTAATCTACAATTTTACAATTTTTACAAGTTTAGAAGTTTACAAGTTTACAAGTTTACAAGTTTACAATTTTTACAAGTTTACAAGTTTACAATCTTTACAAGTTTACAATTTTTACAATTTACTTAATGAATTTGGACGGAATTTATCTAAATAAAAAAAAAATCAAACCCTTCGCGTAAAATGAAAATATTGAAGGACTTTCAATGTAGAAGTAGTCTATCATATGATAGCGATCTTTTAAATGTAAGAATCTGAGCCAATAAGGGTGTAAACGTTTAAAAACATTTTTTTTATTTTACTTGATAAACAATTTATTTATTTTATTTGATAAATAAATTGTATTTATCGAATAAAATAAATAAATTGCTTTTTCTTTAATTATACTCTGACAGACATACACAAGGTATTTAAATTTCCTATTTTAATTTTCCTGAAATATCTATCTATCATCATCATAGGATCGTCAGTCCTAAAACTGGTTGGACATGTACCTCCACTCTTTCCTATCCTGAGCTAAACTTCGCATTTCCCTAAAACTGGAACAACCCACATCCTTAACTATTTGTGAACAGTAATCTAACCTGGGTCTACCTCTACCCCTCCTAACTCCTGTTTCTGCCTCTAGTATGTCTCTGACTAGACCGTCATGCCTGAGAAGGTGTCCTATCAACCTATCTCGCCTATTTTTGTATTGACTTCCATAGGCTCCTCTGTTCTCCTATTCTTTCTAATACCTCTTCATTTCTAACCTTTTCTACCCACGTTATCCTCATCATTCGCTTATAACACTACATTTCGAAGGCTTCTAACCTTTTCTTTTCCGCCGCGCCCACTGTTCATGTTTCGCACCCGTACAACGCCGCGCTGAAATATTTAAATTAATTTATAANTATAACTATATAACCATATTTCATATCTATTAATGGAGATCGAAAAAACACGTGCCTAAAGTAAAGATTCATCAAAATAAAAACAGTGTTTTTCTACATATGAAGACATGAGTTTTCTAATTTATTTTAGAGTCTAGGAACGATGTAAACCCCTGTTTCTACTCAAACGAATATAAAAGAGGTCGACCTTTTACATTTATTTATGTAAGTACAGAAAGTAGAAAAGTAAAAGAAAACTTCTATAAGCGGAATAGCTATATTGTTTATAACTTTTGGTTCCGTTTCATGAATTTGTTTTATTGTTTAACAAACCTTTTTATGATGTAAATAATTTCAATAGGTACGTACAGTTTGAAAGGATAAAATAAGCTGAAATAGAGTATTATAGGCCTGATATAAGGTCTACATTATATCATAATGTTGTATGATTAAATATAGTCTGCATTGTGAAGAAAAAAGAATCTGAGTGCCTACCTACTACAAAAGGTTTACCTCATTAAATTTATCCATTGACGCCAATAGATTCTTTGAAAGTGTGAAAGTTAGAGAAGGGTTTTCTATAATATCTTGAATAATAAGCAATATAAGTCAATAAATCAGTGGTCTATGTTTCCAAAAGTGATTTCTAATAATATCTAAACACAACAATAACGTATTTTCTATATGGTATCGACGAAATGTTATTCGAAGGGCATACATACTGATACCAAAGATTAACTCAATTTCCTTAAAAGTGCCTATCATATTGTTGCTGCAGATTATTGCTACAGAACAGTAGGTATTATTATTTATATTTTCCGGTCTTCTCACAATCAGTTTTCATTTGCAAATAAAGATATTATTATCATTTCGATTGAATGTGTTCAATATTCCTGTTGCTTCATTCAGAATTCCAAACCTAACCTTCACTATTATTATCAACCGGTTACAGTCAGATTCTGGAATTGTACGCATCGGGGACACCGGAAGCCAAAAATTTTCCCGCTTCTGATTCTGGCACACAGAATCGCCACTTACCTCCGGTCCGTCAATTTTATGTTTATGAATAATCTCCGTGTGGTGGTATCAGAGGGCGAACCTAGGAAAACACCTTCACGTTCTGATGTGTCTTGGTCGAGTCCTGGCACACTTGATGACACTACCACCACTACTACCGCGTACCCCCGACGGTCTTATCTACCATGGCTCACTGATGGTGGTGTAGAACAATGTCCGAGGACGCCCTCTCCGTGCGGCGCCGTCGCGGTTGCGACGTCCATGACGCCGAGCGTCGGTCGATAGACGTAGAAGCCGGATAGTTCCGTCAGTAAAACCCGTTACTGCTGATGCAAACTTTGAATCCTTGGCGATGCGATGCACAGTGACGAGACCACTGCAGCTGAAAGGACGACATTACACATGCTTTGAACCCATTTTTTTTGCATTTATCTGCTTGCTTTACTACGTATTACACATTACCAAGTCTTACAATTACGTAGATTTTTCTGTTTTTATTAAGAGAAGAAACAATATTATTTTTAAAGTTTGAAATGCTGAAATTGCAGAGAACCTTGTTGTGATGGGAATTGTAAATTATTATAACACATTATAGTTTACCAAAAGAATAATATTCAAATGCATACAACGTCGATCACAACTCCTCAATTAAAAAAATTGGAATCACTTAATGACCTTTCAAAATTGTTTATCAGAGATATAAAAATATAGTTGTTAGATGTTTTTAAGATAAGGCATGCAAAATCGTTTCGAAAATGCATTTGAAATGTAAAATGCAAAATAGGTATTTTCTAAATGGTTCATAAATTATAATAACTATTCCCTTATTCCTTTTTTTAATGAAGAAAGTATCCTAATACAAATCGAAATTAGTGTTAGGAAAAGGCAGGTAAAATATAAAATTGAAACAGATAATTAAATTTTGAAAAAGTAATTTATAAACTATCAGATTAACTATTGTATGGAAATTGTTAAATATTTCAATGAAAGACTTAGAAATCTGAATTGAAGCTCTTCTTGATTTCACACAAACATGAGTTAACATTTTAGTGAAATCCTTCATTATCACACGGTCGTCAGACCTCCACTTCGTCCTATTTTCGCATTTCCCGAAAACTAGAACACCCACATTTGCCAGCAATACTACTATACATCTTCTTAATCTCTTTACTTTTATTTCTTCATTTAATATGCCTTCAACTAACCTTTAATGTCTTCGAACATATTCTAATCTCCTCTTTTTCTTATTGACTATTTTCACATAGTGTTCGTAATTTCCAAAATTATATTTTTCATTTTTCCGGAAATAAGTCTGCATAACTTACAAAACCTGGAACCATCATGCAATTGCATTCGTTATGGTTCTAAGATATTTTGGTCTACTACACTAAAGAACGACCGTGGATTAAGATAAAATTTCAAAATTTTCATGTGACAATGACGAAAACGAACACTGTGTGGGGTCCTATAAAGTGCAAAGCTAAGGAGAAAAGGGGGAGATGAGGTGAAGTCTGCGAGGGAGACCAAGTAAGGTCCGCGAAGCGGGCGTGTAGTTGGGAGTACCATATGATTCGGGAATCATAAGGTAATCATAGACTGGCGTTGGGTTGACGATTACAACCCTGCACCGAAATTTCTCCTTAGAGAGCAAACCTAGGGATCCACATTCAGCGTCTAGTTTCTTTCCGGAACTCAAAAAATCTCCCTCAGTATTTTCATATGCGCTGTGCTCCAAGCATACACATTCAACAGTCTTATTCAAATTGCAAAATTAACCTTATGTAACTGGATGATGCGGTGCTACTGCATTCTTCGTTTTTTGAAGCATCTCACGAATGGTATCGAAACTGTGTGATACATAATATTTTAAAAAAATTTACGGTAAATGTCTAGATGATGGCCCCCATCCCCGAAGAGGGTGGGGGTGGGTGGGATCGAAAGAGGAGATCTCCCCTACCACTGTACCATAAAAAGTTCGTGGCGGTCTCACTCCCATAAGAAGTTATAGGGGGGATCGAAGGAGGGTAGGGGGGATCGAAAGAAGGTGGTCATCTGAGTAAAACCCCATAAAAAATTTGCGGCGGTCTCACCCCCATAAAAAGTCATGGCGGTTGAAAGTTGATTATTTTGACAATTGTCATACACTATAATTCAAATAAAATTCAATAAAAAAAATATTTTCAAGCGGGTGGAGGTGGGGGATCGAAAGAGGGTGGTCACTTGAACAAAACTCGATAACCTAACCTAACCTACCCTATTGATAAAGATATT